AAAAAACAATCCCTATGTCTTGTTTTCTTTGAGTTTCGTCGCAGGCGAGACAAAAATAATCTAATTTATTCAAATTTGACCAAAACATGGCATTGACGATAACTATTTATTCTGATTAGTCCATTCTACACTAAGAGCCAGATCTTGAGAAACTTGCAATGATGACTAGGGATCCCTTTATACGAGTTGGTTGACCGCTATTGACTCTCTGTTTCACAAATGACGACGGATATATTCTCTAATTGACGTAACTACAATCCCGTCCTTTTTTTCTTGAATATTACCTACCGAATTAGACTAATCACCGATTTTGTACTTAAATTAGCAACACGACAGGTGCCACATATGGAGCAGAATCTGTTTACCCTTCAAGAGCACATGAGATCACCCCTAGTTTTGTTTAAAGGGGGTTCGAGTTGCCCTTGTTTAGTTTTAGTGTTCTTCTTTGTGCATTTTCTTTTTTTGAATGAATGTGATATATGTACTGGGTACGGTCTTGTGTATCAATCCTTTGTCATCAAAAAGTTGTTTAAACTTCAAAATTTCACATTCCATTAAGTTTCAAGGTAGGAAAATTTACATGACTGATGATTAATGAATTTGATGTAAGGGTTAGATCAGAGTCAATTCCCTATCCGCCACTGCATTAGTCCAAATCAATTGATATAACATATCAACATGTTTATAGAAGTAACACGACAGGTGTCACATATGGAGAAGGATCTGCTTCCCTTCCGGAGCACATGATATCACCCCCAGTTTATGGTGGGGTTTGAGTTGCATCACAGTCTTTAGTTTTCTATGTTGTCTTTTGTGTACTGGTGTTTGTCTTTTGGTCATTTGTCTTTTTTGTCGTGACATTGTCAGTTGTGTTTGACTTTTGGTCATTTGTCTTTTTTGTCCTGACATTGTCAGTTGTGTTTGACTTTTGGTCATTTGTTTTTTTTGTCCTGACATTGTCAGTTGTGTTGACTTTTTGGCATTTGTCTTTTTTGTCATGACATTGTCAGTTGTGTTTGTCTTTTGGTCATTTGTCTTTTTTGTCATGACATTGTCAGTTGTGTTTGACTTTTTGTCATTTGTCTTTTTTGTCATGACATTTTCAGTTGTGTTTAACTTTTGGTCATTTGTCTTTTTTGTCATGACATTGTCAGTTGTGTTTGTCTTTTTTGTCATGACATTGTCAGTTGTGTTTAACTTTTGGTCATTTGTCTTTTTTGTCATGACATTGTCAGTTGTGTTTGTCCTTTTTGTCATGACATTGTCAGTTGTGTTTGACTTTTGGTCATTTGTCTTTTTTGTCATGACATTGTCAGTTGTGTTTGTCCTTTTTGTCATGACATTGTCAGTTGTGTTTGACTTTTGGTCATTTGTCTTTTTTGTCATGACATTGTCAGTTGTGTTTGTCTTTTGGTCATTTGTTTTTTTTGTCATGACATTGTCATTTGTGTTTGACTTTTGGTCATTTGTCGTTTTTTGTCATGACATTGTCAGTTGTGTTTGACTTTTGGCGATTTGTCTTTTTTGTCATGACATTGTCAGTTGTGTTTGACTTTTGGTCATTTGTCTTTTTTGTCATGACATTGTCAGTTGTGTTTGACTTTTGGTCATTTGTCTTTTTTGTCCTGACTTTTTCAGTTGTGTTTGACTTTTGGTCATTTGTCTTTTTTGTCATGATATTGTCAGTTGTATTTGACTTTTGGTCATTTGTCTTTTTTGTCATGACATTGTCAGTTGTGTTTGACTTTTGGTCATTTGTCTTTTTTGTCCAGACTTTTTCAGTTGTGTTTGACTTTTGGTCATTTGTCTTTTTTGTCATGACATTGACAGTTGTGTTTGACTTTTGGTCATTTGTCTTTTTTGTCATGACATTGTCAGTTGTGTTTGACTTTTGGTCATTTGTCTTTTTTGTCCTGACTTTTTCAGTTGTGTTTGACTTTTGGTCATTTGTCTTTTTTGTCATGATATTGTCAGTTGTATTTGACTTTTGGTCATTTGTCTTTTTTTTCATGACATTGTCAGTTGTGTTTGACTTTTGGCCATTTGTCTTTTTTGTCAGACATTATCAGTTGTGTTTGACTTTTGGTCATTTGTCTTTTTTGTCATGACATTGTCAGTTGTGTTTGACTTTTGGTCATTTGTCTTTTTTGTCATGACATTTTCAGTTGTGCTTGACTTTTGGTCATTTGTCTTTTTTTTCATGACATTGTCAGTTTTGTTTGACTTTTGAGTGTGAATATCCCTACGGTATCTTTTGCCTCTCTTTTATTTTCAGATTTAAAGATATAAACTTATCAAATAAAATGTGTTTAAACTAAACCTCATACGGTATGTTGCACAGAAACCTTATAAAGAAAATTACATTTTCATTTTCTCATGTACTTTACCAGAATAATACAAAGATTTTAAGGCCCTTTTATAACAGAACATTCTCATTTTGTTGCAATCAAGAGAAAAAGACAAGACTGTCATGGGTAATTCTGATTAGGTCACCATTAAACCCTTGGTTTACTAGTAGATTTTTGTTTGAATCCAAAGCCTCAAAGATAGAGTAAATGTTAATTTCATTTTTATGCCTTACTACTTTAATAGTGTTTTGGTTGTAGAATACAAAGCAATAACTCTTCTTTTTGCACAGATATGATTAACACTTTTAAGCAAGACAAGTGTTACAGGCTTTTGAAATGGTATCTACTCTAGTTTAAGTTATCTACACACAAAAATTGTATCATGGGTAGCATCAAGTTTACGTTTTGTTCTGGTTGACTTACAAATGGAACTCAATTCCAGAGAAATTTTCTATATATCTGTAGAATAGTCTTTTTGGCACTCACGACTTTAAAGAACTTTTGGTCACATTTTTAAATGCTTTTATTTGACATTAGAAATTGACTAGACACTCCTGTTGTCTGTCAATATAAAAATAAGGAGATGTGGTATTATTGCCAATGAGACAACTATCCACCAAAGTTCAAATGAAGTGGATGTAAGCAAATGTAAGCAAACTTGTTATGGTATGAGTTTAATGTCATTTTCTATATAATTTGTACTGGCTGAAAAACTAAAGAGCTTAAGATAAACAAAAAACTTTGGCAAGAAACTTATCAAAAAGTAACTTCCGAAGTAAATGAAGCATAAAATTAGGTTATAGTGACCTACTTTTATAAGGAAGCTTTAAAAAACCAGCCTCAGTTCAAGTGCTCAAACAGAATGCCCCTAAAAATGCATAAAAACTCCTTTTGAAACCTTATTCAGAAAATAGGCAAAGAAAATGCGTTGGTCGCATTATGAAAGTACTGTTTTGTAACACTACAATAAGCACACCTTTGATATAAACTCAAATTTAGTACAAAGTTTAAATGTTACAGCTAGAAAACAGTAGACAGGAAAGGTGAACAAACCATATGCCAACAGACAAACAGAAAGATGTTACAGGTAGAAAACAGTAGACAGGAAAGGTGAACTAACCATTTGCCAGCAGACAATCAGAAAGATGTTACAGCTAGAAAACAGTAGACAGGAAAGGTGAACTAACCATATGCCAACAGACAATCAGAAAGATGTTACAGCTAGAAAACAGTAGACAGGAAAGGTGAACTAACCATATGCCAACAGACAAACAGAAAGATGTTACAGCTAGAAAACAGTAGACAGGAAAGGTGAACTAACCATATGCCAGCAGACAATCAGAAAGATGTTACAGCTAGAAAACAGTAGACAGGAAAGGTGAACTAACCATATGCCAACAGACAATCAGAAAGATGTTACAGCTAGAAAGCAGTAGACAGGAAAGGTGAACTAACCATATGCCAACAGACAAACAGAAAGATGTTACAGCTAGAAAACAGTAGACAGGAAAGGTGAACTAACCATATGCCAACAGACAAACAGAAAGATGTTACAGCTAGAAAACAGTAGACAGGAAAGGTGAACTAACCATATTCCAACAGATAATCAGAAAGCTGTAATAGCAAGAAAACAGAAGACAGGAAAGGTGAACTTACCATATGCAAACAGACAATCAGAAAGATGTTACAGCTAGAAAACAGTAGACAGGAAAGGTGAACTAACCATATGCCAACAGACAAACAGAAAGATGTTACAGCTAGAAAACAGTAGACAGGAAATTGAACTAACCATATGCCAACAGACAATCAGAAAGATGTTACAGCTAGAAAACAGAAGACAGGAAAGGTGAACTAACCATATGCCAACAGACAATCAGAAAGATGTAACAGCTAGAAAACAGTAGACAGGAAAGGTGAACTAACCATATGCCAACAGACAAACAGAAAGATGTTACAGCTAGAAAACAGTAGACAGGAAAGGTGAACTAACCATATGCCAACAGACAATCAGAAAGATGTTACAGCTAGAAAACAGTAGACAGGAAAGGTGAACTTACCATATGCCAACAGACAATCAGAAAGATGTTACAGCTAGAAAACAGTAGACAGGAAAGGTGAACTAACCATATGCCAACAGACAAACAGAAAGATGTTACAGCTAGAAAACAGTAGACAGGAAAGGTGAACTAACCATATGCCAACAGACAATCAGAAAGACTTACATGTTTAACCCCGCCACATTCTGTATGTATGTGCCTGTCCCAAGTCAGGAGCCAGTAATTAAGTGGTTGTCGTTTGTTGCTGTGTAACATATATTTTTATTCGTTCATTTTTTTGTACATTAATTAGGCCATTACTTTTCTCATTTGAATTGTTTTACATTTGTCATTTCAGGGCCTTTTATAGCTGACTATGCGGTATGGGCTTTGCTCATTGTTGAAGGCCGTACGGTGACCTATAGTTGTTAATTTCTGTGTCATTTGGTCTCTTGTGAAGAGTTGTCTCATTGGCTATCATACCACATCTTCTTTTTTATAGAAAGAGTTTAATTCAGCTGTATAAATTCTATTAAAATGTTACCACAAACTGACATCGATATCAGAGATGGAATGATACATGATGTAAGAGTGAAAAACAAAACATAAAACAAGATATCTTTTATATTTATTTATACAATAGAATTATATGCAAAGTAACATAAGAACAACACTATTTATGATGTCATTAATGGGCTGATCTAACTGAAAGTCAATCTATCACTCATTTACATACAAGTATACATCAAAACTCAACAATGTATCAAGAACGCCATTTTCAACACTATCGTGATATTTTGTGGCAGTCAGTTTTTATTGGTGGAGGAAGATGGGAGAGAACCACCGACCTTCAGTAGGAAAACTAACAATCCTAGTCAATTAAGATTGGAGTCGAGTGCACCTGTCATATTCGGGAATCAAACTAACAACCTCAGTGTTGACATGCTAGTGATACAGTAGTTGGACTACTCAGCCACCGAGGCCCCCCAATGTTTCAGGAGGCACAGTGAAAAAGTCAAAGGGCAATATCCTTGTCAACAGAAAGATCAAGCAGAACAAAACTGATGTTAAATTTTAAATCTGTAGTTCATGATGATTAGTAACATCATTATCTAACTGCAGAAAAAGACCAGCTTTATATCTGCAGCTACAATCATTGAAAGAAAATTTTAAGACTGTAATATATTTCAGTATTGTAGAAGACATTAACAGGCATCATGGCTAAATCTTTGACTTTCTAACTGAAAAATTAATACGATTGATAATATATGTTAATCCCATTTTCTCAAATTTCCTTTGATCTTTCTGTATGATAATTTTCCATCTCGCACTAACTCAAATGATAAGGGTTTTTCTCAGTCGAGAAGAAAGAGGCTGATGACATTATAAGCCTACGTTTTTGACATTGCCTAAATAAATAGTGATAACAGATTATGAATTGTCTTTCAAACTCAAGGATGTTTATCAGCTACATCCAACTCAAGGCTATCAATGAGATTGCAGCAGAAAAGTTCCCCGATTGAAGAACCACACATTGACAACCAGAACTCCAACATAGCATCATTGTGCCAAAGCATAAATCCGGACAGTTTCGGACTGTTGTTCATCAAACAAGTAGTGATAACAGCAACTCATATTGGACTTTTAATCCAGGTATGCTAATAATGAAGAAAAGTTGTGAACAAAAAATAAATAGATACACCCAGAATTCACAACAACAAAATTACGATTTACCATGCATTCTGTAAAATAAATATCAAGTATAACTTATAATTCAAACACAAAATAAAGTTGCACTGTCAAAATAAAATGACAAAACAATTTCAATTGCTTATTAAATAACATGTATTCAATTCTTTATGAATTGTAAGTTGGGCATACAAATCTTACTCATTTTAATAATGAACTAAATTTGATGATCATCATAATTCTGTCTCTGTTGTCCCAAATTTATAATTGTCCCATATTTTATCAAATAATGTTCCACAGTCAATCTGACATTCTAATTTGGCACAAAGAAGAAAAGATCCAGCCATTTTTCTGTGTAAGGAATAAGTTTCCTCTGGTGGTGGTGTGAGTCTATGCTTAGCCATGACAGGAATCTGGTCTTGAATCTGACTAGCTGTAGACTGTTTTCCGAAATCAAATGGTTCTTTGCTTGCAAATGCTCTGCCTAAAATCATCACAGAATCTATATGGGCTTTCTCCATAATCTGAAATTTAAAGTTAGAAATGTTTATCTGAAATTACGAAATTATACCAGATTGGCAAATACCATATAGCTATTCCTCATGCTAGTCAGAAGTATATATGTTACAGTTTCTACAAAATTTTCACAATGACCTAACTCCTATAAACATTAGGAAAAGTTTTTTAACAGAACATATTTTAACTGGACTATATTACAGTTCCAACTGCATAACTTCTCTAGTTATTGTGAAATGGAACTGATTTCAATATTTGAGTCATAAAGCTTGGACAAATTTATTGAAAACCCTAAAGAAAATACAAACAAGAATGTTTCCATAGTACACGGATGCCCCACTCACACTATCATTTTCAGTGGACCGTGAAATTGTGGTCAAAACTCTAATTTTGCATTAAAATTAGAAAGATCATATCATAGGGAACGTGTGTACTAAGTTTCAAGTTGATTGGACTTCAACTTCATCAAAAAACTACCTTGACCAAATACTTTAACCTGAAGCGGGACAGACGGACAAATGGATAGACGGACGAACGAACGGACGCACAGACCGAAAAAACATAATGCCCCTCTACTATTATAGGTGGGCATAAAAAAGTATTGGCAGTAACATTTTGCAATCATTAAAAGATTTTCAAGACACGTGACACTGTAGTTGGCTATGAAACTTCAATTCTGAGTGTCTAGAAAAGCCTATATGGACAATTTTATGTTATGGGGGTCTATAATTCAGTTTGACAGCTTAAGACATACTAATTTTTGACCTTTTCAAACTGGACCAAATCACTGCTTTACCTAAAAATTCATGCCACAATTTTTTTTTACATATAATTTCATCCTCATTTTTACTATTTTATGCATAAAATATAAATAAATAAATTTGGAAGGCGTATGAAAAAGTTATACACTAGGAACTCTATTTGAAGACAAGGAAAATCAAAGGACAATAACTGTGTCCCTGGACCACATGATTCAAATGATGATAAAACAAGGAATGTGCTGTCAAACTGACAGCAAACTGGGTTTTCTGTATTTTGAAAGGTGCTTTCAGGCCTTTTTTCACCTGCCACATTCTAAGTCTATTTTACTATCTATCAAGGACCAGAACTTCCAAATGGCAAAAAAATCCTCAATATCAAAACTGAATTCCATTTTGTCATTATTAACAGCATATTCAAATTTTAAAACCATTGGTTGCCCCTTTCATAAGTAATTGTATGGAAACGTCAATGGTGCCTTTCTTTCATTCTATTAAGAAGCATTACTTCTGGACATCACAAGTGAAAATCATCAATATCGAAATCCACCTCCATTTTTTTATTAGTAACAACATATCAAAATTTTAAATGCATTGGGCAAGTGGTTCTTAAGAAATTGCATGGAAACGACAAAGTGCTATTTTTCAATAGATCATAGACCACAACTCCTGACTGGTAAAAGTGAATAGTATCAATATTAAACTTGACCTCCATTTTGTCAATAGTATCAACATATTAAAATTTACATCTGCCCACCATACTTCACCAAATTAATAACTGTTGTTTTCCTTTGATAAATAAAAATAAACACATTTCCAAATTTCAGTCCGTCTACTGTTGAAATTAAGCTGACCTTTGATCCAAGTTTGGTTAGGGCTGGATGCATGATTCAAAAGAATGAACTAAACAAAAAATTATATGAACATGAAGTTTCTACTGCTGGAAACTTGAAATGTCATTTTCAACAAGCATTCTGTGAGTATTGCATGGCAATACATGTACATAGTCCCCTACCGGTTACAAATTCTATGTAATGGAACGAAATTCTAACTTGATCTATAACTTGTCATGGTGTAAACTACATAAAAATATCAAGTCAAAATCTTCAAGCATGACGAAAAAAACTGTTGAAAACTGATTATTTAAGTGAATTTTCTATGTCCAAAGACCATAGCTCTGCACAAAATTATCAGACTGGATCAAAATTCCAACTTGATCTGTAACTTGTCATGATAAAACTATACACTAATTATCAAATCAATATCTTTAAGAATGACAAACAAACCTACCACTAAATTCTTCAAACAATTTACCAAAGAAAAGGAAAAAAATCCAAAATGTCATTTTGTCTTTCAAAAAATTCGTAAGGGTTCCACGGAACCCAGTGTCTCGCCTACTTTTGCTGTTAATCGCAGGCTCAACAAAAATGAGGAAAAAAATTAATAAAAATATTCCTCTCTACACTATCTTTTGATTGTTAGTAGCTTCTGTCCAAGTTTGGTAAAAATCCAGGATAGTTTATGTATTTAATAAATGTTTTAAAAACTTAAACTGCAGACTGTATGTAATGTTAACTGGAAGAAAAACTAAGTCCATTTATAAGTATAATACGGAATAAAATGCTTCGCTGGGGCGCAGCTTGATACGACCGCAGAGGTCGAACCCTGAACAGTTGGGGCAAGTATGGACACAACATTCAAGCTTGATACAGCTCTGAATTTGGATTGTTATTAAATATTTGACACAGCATAGGTTTCTGACACAGAAAGAATGTGGTCTAAGAACTTGAACTTTTTTAAATTTACCTATTATGGTCCAATGTCCAAAATCAAAATACATGGTTAGATTCAGCATATCAAAGAACCCCATATATTCAATTTTTGTAAAAATCAAACAAAGTTTAATTTTGGACCCCAACTTGGACAAACTTGAAAACTGGGCCCATAATCAAAAATTTAAACACGTCTTTAGATTCAGCATATCAAAGAACCCCAAGAATTCAATTTTTGCTAAAATCAAACTAAGTTTAATTCTGAACCCTTTGGACCTTAATGTAGACCAATTTAAATAAAATGCTTCGCTGGGGCGCAGCTTGATACGACCACAGAGGTCGAACCCTGAACAGTTGGGGCAAGTATGGACACAACATTCAAGCTTGATACAGCTCTGAATTTGGATTGTTATTAAATATTTGACACATCATATGTTTCTGACACAGAAAGAATGTGGTCTAAGAATTTGAATTTTTTTAATTTACCTATTATGGTCCAATGTCCAAAATCAAAATACATGGTTAGATTCAGCATATAAAAGAACCCCATATATTCAATTTTTGTTAAAATCAAACAAAGTTTAATTTTGGACCCCAACTTGGACAAACTTGAAAACTGGGCCCATAATCAAAAATCTAAACACATGTTTAGATTCAGCATATCAAAGAACCCCAAGAATTCAATTTTTGCTAAAATTAAACTAAGTTTAATTTTGGACCCTTTGGACCTTAATGTAGACCAATTTAAAAAACGGGACTTAAAATTAAAAATCTAAATACACGGTTAGATTTGGAATATCAAAGAACCCCAATAATTCAATTTTTGATGAAATCAAACAAAGTTTAATTTTGGACCCTTTTGACCTCAATATGAACCAATTTGATAGCGGGGCCCACAAATAAAAAATCTAAATTCATGGTTAGATTCAGCATATCAAAGAACCCCATATATTCAATTTTTGTTGAAATCAAACAAAGTTTAATTTTGGACCCCAATTTGGACCAACTTGAAAAATGGGCCAAAAATCAAAAATCTAAATACATGTTTAGATTCAGCATATCAAAGAACCTCATATATTCAATTTTTGCTAAAATCAAACAAAGTTTAATTTTGGACCCCAACTTGGACCAACTTGAAAACTGGGCCCATAATCAAAAATCTAAACACATGTTTAGATTCAGCATATCAAAGAATCCCAAGAATTCAATTTTTGTTAAAATCAAACTAAGTTTAATTTTGGACCCTTTGGACCTTAATGTAGACCAATTTAAAAAATAGGACCCAAAATTAAAAATCTAAATACACGGTTAGATTTGGAATATCAAAGAGCCCCAATAATTCAATTTTAGATGAAATCAAACAAAGTTTAATTTTGGACCCTTTTGACCTCAATATGAACCAATTTGATAACGGGGTCCACAAATAAAAAATCTAAATACATGGTTAGATTCAGCATATCAAAGAACCCCATATATTCAATTTTTGTTGAAATCAAACAAAGTTTAATTTTGGACCCCAATTTGGACCAACTTGAAAAATGGGCCAAAAATCAAAAATCTAAATACATGTTTAGATTCAGCATATCAAAGAACCTCATATATTCAATTTTTGCTAAAATCAAACAAAGTTTAATTTTGGACCCTTTGGACCTTAATGTAGACTATTTTGAAAACTGGACCCAAAATTAAAAATCTAAATACACTGTTAGATTCGGCATAACAAATAAATAAATGTGATCAAAGATTTTACAAATCTAATGCGCCATACTGTGCAATTAAAGATTACTTCTTGAAATTTTTCAATATTTGAAATTTGAAAAAAAATAATATTTGAAAAATAATTCTTTTTAATTTCTGAAATCTGAAATGAGAAAAAATTGACCCCCCACAATTTCTTTTTATCCCCCCCCCCCTTTTTTCCCCAAAAAAATTCTTTCCCTCAAGATATGGTCATAATCTCAATTCAAATTTCCAATGGAGTTGGCAACCATATTTACCCATTTAAATTTACCATAGTGCTAACTTAATCTATTTTATAATAGAATTAAAAATATAGTGTCAAATCTTTCATATGGATTTTTTTGTAAAAAAAAATGATGCAACATTTGCAGATATTTTTACTAGTCTTCCTTTATAAATATGCATTTCTTTAAACATAATTTAAAAGCAGTGTAAGGGAAGTAACCAAAACGTTGTATTTGGATTACCTCCCTTACCTTGTTTAAATTATCTTTATTGTTCATTAACCATTACTTTATACATAATTTAAAAGCAGTGTAAGGGAGATAATTTCAATGATGAATTTGATTTATCTCCCTTACACTGCTTTAAATTATGTTTTGTACTAAAGTATTTGTCCATTAACCAGGACAACCTTGTTTTTCCCCCTTTTTTGCCCCTAATTCCTAAACGGTTTGAGCCATAACCCCCCAAAGCAAATCCTAACCATCCCTTTGTGGTATGGAAACTTGTAGTATAATTTCAGAGAGATCCATACACCGTTCCACAGTTATTGTCTGGAAACTAGAAAATGCTTATTTTTGGCCCCTTTTTGGCCCCTAATTCCTTAACTGTTGGTACCATAACCCCCAAAATCAATCCCAACCTTCCTTTTGTGGTATTTAACCTTATGGTAAAATTTCAAAAAGATCCATTCACTTAAACTAAAGTTAGAGTGCGAAAACCAATGTGTATTCGGACGACGACGCTGGACGACGACGACGACGACGCCGGACGACGACGACGACGACGACGACGACGCCAACGTCATACCAATATACGACCACAAAATTTTTTTGCGGTCGTATAAAAACGGGACTTAAAATTAAAAATCTAAATACACGGTTAGATTTGGAATATCAAAGAACCCCAATAATTCAATTTTTGATGAAATCAAACAAAGTTTAATTTTGGACCCTTTTGACCTCAATATGAACCAATTTGATAGCGGGGCCCACAAATAAAAAATCTAAATTCATGGTTAGATTCAGCATATCAAAGAACCCCATATATTCAATTTTTGTTGAAATCAAAAAAAGTTTAATTTTGGACCCCAACTTGGACCAACTTGAAAACTGGGCCCATAATCAAAAATCTAAACACATGTTTAGATTCAGCATATCAAAGAACCCCAAGAATTCAATTTTTGTTAAAATCAAACTAAGTTTAATTTTGGACCCTTTGGACCTCAATGAAGACCAATTTAACAAACGGGACCCAAATTAAAAATCTAAAAACACGGTTAGATTTGGCATATCAAAGAACCCCAATAATTCAATTTTTGATGAAATCAAACAAAGTTTAATTTTGGACACTTTTGACCTCAATATGAACCAATTTGATAGCGGGGCCCACAAATAAAAAATCTAAATACATGGTTAGATTCAGCATATCAAAGAACCTCATATATTCAATTTTTGTTGAAATCAAACAAAAGTTTAATTTTGGACCCCAATTTGGACCAACTTGAAAACTGGGCCCATAATCAAAATTCTAAATACATGTTTACATTCAGCATATCAAAGAACCCCATATATTAAATTTTTGTTGACATCAAACAAAGTTTAAATACTGGACCCTATCTTGGACCAACTTGAAAACTGGGCCCATAATCAAAAATCTAAACACATGTTTAGATTCAGCATATCAAAGAACCCCAAGAATTCAATTTTTGTTAAAATCAAACTAAGTTTAATTTTGGACCCTTTGGACCTTAATGTAGACCAATTTAAAAAACAGGACCCAAAATTAAAAATCTAAATACACGGTTAGATTTGGCATATCAAAGAACCCCAATAATTCAATTTTTGATGAAATCAAACAAAGTTTAATTTTGGACCCTTTAGACCTCAATAATAACCAATTTGATAACGGGGTCCACAAATAAAAATCTAAATACATGGTTAGATTCAGCATATCAAAGAACCCCATATATTCAATTTTTGTTGAAATCAAACAAAGTTTAATTTTGGACCCCAATTTGGACCAACTTGAAAACTGGGCCAAAAATCAAAAATCTAAATACATGTTTAGATTCAGCATATCAAAGAACCTCATATATTCAATTTTTGCTAAAATCAAACAAAGTTTAATTTTGGACCCTTTGGACCTTAATGTAGACCAATTTGAAAACTGGACCCAAAATTAAAAATCTAAATACACTGTTAGATTTTGCATAACAAATAAATAAATGTGATCAAAGATTTTACAAATCTAATGCGCCATACTGTGCAATTAAAGATTACTTCTTGAAATTTTTCAATATTTGAAATTTGAAAAAAAAATAATATTTGAAGATAATTCTTTTTAATTTCTGAAATCTGAAATGAGAAAAAATTGACCCCCCACAATTTCTTTTTATCCCCCCCCCCCCCCCCCCCCCCTTTTTTCCCCCAAAAAATTCCTTCCCTCAAGATATGGTCATAATCTCAATTCAAATTTCCAATGGAGTTGGCAACCATAATTACCCATTTAAATTTACCATAGTGCTAACTTAATCTATTTTATAATAGAATTAAAAATATAGTGTCAAATCTTTCATATGGAATTTTTTGTAAAAAAAAAGATGCAACATTTGCAGATATTTTTACTGGTCTTCCTTTATAAATATGCATTTCTTTAAACATAATTTAAAAGCAGTGTAAGGGAAGTAACCAAAACGTTGTATTTGGATTACCTCCCTTACACTGTTTTAAATTATCTTTATTGTTCATTAACCATTACTTTATACATAATTTAAAAGCAGTGTAAGGGAGATAATTTCAATGATGTATTTGATTTATCTCCCTTACACTGCTTTAAATTATGTTTTGTACTAAAGTATTTGTCCATTAACCAGGACAACCTTGTTTTTCCCCCTTTTTTGCCCCTAATTCCTAAACGGTTTGAGCCATAACCCCCCAAAGCAAATCCTAACCATCCCTTTGTGGTATGGAAACTTGTAGTATAATTTCAGAGAGATCCATACACCGTTCCACAGTTATTGTCTGGAAACTACAAAATGCTTATTTTTGGCCCCTTTTTGGCCCCTAATTCCTTAACTGTTGGTACCATAACCAATCCCAACCTTCCTTTTGTGGTATTTAACCTTATGGTCAAATTTCAAAAAGATCCATTCACTTAAACTAAAGTTAGAGTGCGAAAACCAATGTGTCTTCGGACGACGACGACGACGACGACGACGCCAACGTCATACCAATATAAGACCACAAAAATTTTTTGCGGTCGTATAAAAAATGAAACAAAATTTTAACAAAATTTCCTTTTAGTTACTAGCTTTTAATCATTAACAAGCTTCTGTCCAAGTTTGGTACAAATCCAGGATAGTTTAAGAAAGTTATTAAAATTTGAAAAACTTTAACCACAGAGTGAATGTAATGTTAACTGGCAGAAAAAAAACTAAGTCCATTTATAAGTAAAATACGGAAAAAATGGAATTTTTTTTTTACAAAATTTACTTCTTGATACTATCTTATGATCATAAACAAGCTTCTTTCCAAGTTTGGTAGAAATCCAGGATAGTTTAAGAAAGTTATTAAAATTTCAAAAACTTTAACCACAGAGTGAATATAAAATTTCCTGGCAGAAAAACTAAGTCCATTTATAAATAAAATACGGAAAAAATTGATTTTTTTTTTTCACAAAATCTACTTTTGAATATTATCTTATGATCATAAACAAGCTTCTGTCCAAGTTTTGTAGAAATCCAGGATAGTTTAAGAAAGTTATTAAAATTTCAACAACTTTAACCACAGAGTGAATATTTGTGGACGCCGCCGACGACGACGGAATGTAGGATCGCTATGTCTCGCTTTTTCAACAAAAGTCGAAGGCTTGACAAAAAAGAGTTATTTCCCTTTGAACAGAAATCTACTAATTAACAAGTATTTCATCAAAAATTTAATTCTAGGGAAAGGGCTTTAACTGAACAAAGAGAAAAGCTAAAATTGTGAAAATTGAACTTGACCTATAACTTGTCATGATAAATCAATAAACCAAATATCAAATCAATATCTTCAAGCACAAAGAAAAAAAGTCTGGAAAACTGATTTGCCGGACTGACAGATGGACAGACAGACAGACAGACGGACGGAGTGCAAACCTAAAGTCCCCTTCGACTTTGTTGGTAGGGGACTAATAACAACAGTACATTTTCAAGTATTAAAATTAACAACTGTGGTCTAACAGTTTAAAGTTAAAGATCCAACAGTTTCAAGATACAATTCCAAAATTTTAATGAAAGATAATAAAATATTATTCCTTCAAAAGATGCTCCTTTTCAAAGGCACCAAAAACTATAAAGATGTCTTGCTTTCAGAAAGAAGGTTTCTTACCTTAGTTTCATATCCTGTAAGGAAGCCTGTGGCCTGAGACCATTTCAGTATCCCATCTCTGTCTTGATCTCTAGCAGATTTTATAATCCTGATGTAAGCATCAACAAAGTTTTTATGGAACTCTCTCGTAGCACCAAAATCTAACAGAATAACCTGTAAAGTAGAACTTTTGTATAAATCCTAGCCTTTAACAGAATAACCTGTAAAGTAGAACCTTTGTATAAATCCTAGCCTTTAACAGAATAACCTGTAAAGTAGAACCTTTGTATAAATCCTAGCCTTTAACAGAATAACCTGTAAAGTAGAACCTTTGTATAAATCCTAGCCTTTAACAGAATAACCTGTAAAGTAGAACCTTTGTATAAATCCTAGCCTTTAACAGAATAACCTGAAAAGTATAACTTTTGTATAAATCCTAGCCTTTATTGATATTATATTGAAGACCTTAAATTAAATTTCAGCCTCCTCCACATTTTTGGTAAAACAATCATAAAAAACATTTATCATATAACTGCAATGTTCATCTTCTTTGACAGGGAAAAAGAGTGTCAGTTAAAAACCAATTTACCCCCTACAAGTATAAAAGAAATTGTGTAGTCTTTGCATAAAAGGTTTGCAGTCTTAATAACAGTCAAATTCTGTAGATCATTTTCCATTTTTGTTTGTTCAAACACTGATCATATCTTGCTAGGCTGCCTTGTTTTATGAAAACTATGAGGAAGTATATCCACCAATATTAAAGTGAAAGAGGATGTCTATATCAGATATGTAAATACTTTGAGGTCAATTTCAGTAAAATAATAAGAGAGAATTGTTTTAGCAATACCTGATCAATACAAAATAAATAGGTTTTGACATATTGAATCAGTGATGATGTACTTTATATTCCTAATAGTATAGATCCAAAATTTACATTGTTAAAATTTTAAGACAAAAGTTAGGACATTGCTGAACCACCCCCTTAAATATGTAAAAATAAAAAATTCTAAAATATGCAACATTTGCCTGACAGGCAAGTGTGCATGCATGCATGCATGTATGGATGTTTGTTGGTGTGTATTTTACTATTTCTTTCCAAACACTGTATTTTACCTACCTTGTCTGTTTTAGGATCATAGAAGAAATTTGACCAGTTAGGATCAGTCTGCATAAATCTCCATACAAATAGTTCTGTTAAAGTTAGATCTAGCAAGTTTTGACCAATCTGAAATAAGAAGGAATACTATAAATGATATGAAGCAAAACACATTGAGTGACTACTGACTGACTATTATCTTTTTAAAATCAATAATGACTTGTAAAAACTGTAATCAAAGGATGGTCCAAATTGGATATTGTGCAGTAAACAATGCCACATCTTTGACTGAAGGATTCAGCTTGATTTGTATGTCTTTTATTTAGGATGTTCAAGTGTGTTTTTGAAGAAATAACATTTTCCCCCTTATTTCCATTCAAGCAACAAAGGCAGTAACTTCAAAAGTACAGCAATTTCCAAAAAAAAATAATAAAAAATTACAATCATTTTTTTAGGGAAAATGGTAAAAAGTCTAGATTTTACTACCAATATTCCAATTAATCAACCTAATCAAACTTTAGAATAGTAGGTGTACAACAACATGAGTTATGAAGCAATTATGTGAAGTTTAAGGAGTTTCTTGTTCTTGTGTGACCTGTTTCACTATTTTCAGCTTGTCTTCTTCTGGCATTTTCCTCAGAGTTAAAATTATTAATTTCCTCTGATCACATAGTTTGTTAGGTATCTTCTACTTGTTATAATATAGCAAGGATGCATATACAGTATATAAATCCTTGGGTATGACCATATTGTGTCAACAATGGAGGTATAATACATGTTTATGTTAAGCAAATGGACACAGTAATGTGTATGACATAGTAGCAACCACTTTTTTATATCTTTGAAATGGTACAATCCATTCTTTAAATATACAACAATTTTTAGCAAAAGCTGGCAGAGTTTATTTCTAAGGAATTCAATTAATAATACACCCAATACATCCAAAATATGAAGTAACATCAAAAGGTTTCTGTAATCATCCACTAACTTGTGTCTCAGAAATTGATTAACCCTAAGAGCTAAATTAAATTTTAATTCATTAGGTGTCTAGACAAACTTGAGGCTCCTAGGTGTCTGAATTGCTCAATTTGGCAAAAATATGTCATATTGATATTCATTGTCATGCTTGTTATAATTTTTGTTTCTTTGCAGAAACAAATTATCTTTAAATATACACTTTTATGAGTACGCTCAACTGAAATAAAGGCCAACAAATTATTCTCTTACTTCAAAGCCAGGATCACATTACATATTTCATAAAAATAATGTTATTTTGCTTAATTTCTTCTGTTACCTATTCTAACATTGGACTCAGACTTCTTTTAAACTGAGTTTAACTGTGCGTATTGCTGTGTGCTTGTTTAATCCACATTGGATAGAGGTATCGGGGAGGATTGATCTCTCACAAAACATGTTGAACCATGCAAGTCAGTCCCAAGTCAGGAACCTCTAGCCTTTGTTAGTCTTGTGTGTTTTTTAATTTTGGTTCATTTATATGTTTCAGAGTTTAGTGTGGTGTCCATTTTGCTGAACTTGTATACATTATTGTTTAAGGGCCAGCTGATGGCCGCCTCTGGATTTTCTCACTGCATTGAAGACCTATTTGTGGCCTTGAGCTGTTTTCTGTTCTTCGGTTGGGTTGTTGTCTCTTTGACACATTCCCCTTTCCCATTCTCCATTCTAAATATATTTACAGAATCTTCACCATCCCCCCACCCCTTGCCCTGCATTACCAATAGGCTCTCTCTTAAGCAGGCATCATTCTACTAATGACTAATGAACTGATATGTAGATCTAAATTTGCTTGTTTACCGATTTTGCTATTTAATTACAGTTTTCTGTCCGTTTTGTTTTCAATAAAATATCCCCAAAAGATAATCTACCATGAGTACCGGTACTCTTAGATCTGTACTTTTTGTCTTTTGTCTTTATGTTAGTTGTTTTTTGTGCTGTGTGCTAATCTGATGAGCAAAGCCATTTCCTAATGATTTTTTTAGTTTTTTGTTATGTTGTGATGTTACACCACTGTCCCAACTTCAGGTAGGGTTGAGCACTCACTAACATGTGTCTGTACCAAATCAGAAGTCTGTAACCTAGTGGTTGTCTTTTGTTGCTGATAATCATATTTGTTTTTCATTTATTGTAATGTCTTTCATCAGGCTGTTATCTTATATTGAATTGGAGCGTCCATATGACATCTGTCAGATATCTTATCCTTTCCAAGAATTCATATTTCAATGAATGTTGACCCATCACTGATAGTTAATGAGAAACACATTTCATCAAAGCCATGAAAATGAGATCAAACGAAGTAAGGACATTATGATGAACTAGGTCTGATCCTAAACTACTTCCATATACATTTTGAATGACTTAAGAGGAAGAGTGAACAAGTCATTTGCAATTTTACATAAAAGTAATATTTATGAGTCTTCATTGTAGGCAAGAGATTTTTCCAGAGAATTAAGGGAACAAACCTCTACAAATTCCTATTGCAATAAAGTATGGTACTGGTAGTTGATATGGCTGTAAGATATATATGATGTTGATGATAATGATGATGGATTTGTACTTTACATCTAGAGGAAATATAACACCCATATCAGAATAAGAACATGTTAATGTGATAAGAATATGAACCCTGCTTTGTACTAGAACAACATACCAAACCAGATAACATTCTAGTTTACGTCAGTCACATTATTCTAACTCTGAGCCAACATTGGAGGCAAGCACAATACCACAAGACCAGTAAGGCAATGGAAGCCCTGCCTTAAACACTATATGTAATAATGTTGGTCAAATATACCTACAATACATACTGCTGGAATATTTGTACTATTCAAGAGGAAAAGTTGTGAGATATTGTTGTTTTATATGTATATGTATGACCATACAATTCTGAAAAATAAGCAAACAGACATATTTAACCAAATTCACTCCACCATGAAATTTATGCAATTATTGCAAAAATGTAGCAAAAACCTAGCACTTAAGAAAAGTCATTCTGACACAAAAATGCAAGTCATACAGTTATTTGTTGCTGTAAGGCACCGTACTAAACAAGAGTGCAGTAGAGATGAAATACTATCAATATGTTACCATATAGACTTCTCAGAAATGGACCAAAGTATCTTAAACAGGAAATGTAGGTCATACAGATGGAAATAGAAGAATACTTGCAGCAGAAAGTTTAAAAAACTGCTTCGCCGAGCCCAGCTGGATACGACCCCAGAGGTCCAACCCTGAACAGTTGGGACAAAAATGGACATAATATTCCAAGCTTGATACAGGTCTGAATTTGGATTGTAATTAAATATTTGACACATTATAGGTTTCTGACACAGAATAAATGTAGTCAAAGAACTTGAAATTGGTTGTATAATTTGAATTTATATTCAATTGAAGATTTCTTGCTGTTGTGCAATACACTGTGCTGTTGCGCAATACTTAGTAAATCTGTTTTCAGACTATATACAAAGAATTAGCAAAATAAATTGTGACCCCCAATTTTTTTCTTTGGCAAACTGACAATTTCCTAAATCTTTTTGTAAAATGTGGTACAAATTAAGAGACATCCATACACTTAAACACAAGTTATTGTCTGAAAACTAGAAAAAATGCTTGTTTTAGACCCTTTTTGGCCCCTAATTCCAGAACGGTTTAGGCAATTACCCCCAAAATGAATCCCAACCTTCTACTTGTGGTACTGAACCTTGTGGTACAATTTCACAGCAATCAAAATACTTATACACAAGTTATTGTCCTGAAACTAGACAAATGCTTGTTTTGGCTCCTTTTTGGCCCCTTATTCCTAAAAGGTAGGGACTATCACCCCCAAAAACAATCCCAACCTTCCTTTTGTGGTATTGAACCTTTTGGTTAAATTTCATAGAGATCCATACACTTAAACTAAAGTTATTGTCCGTAAACCAAATGTCTTAGGACGACGCTGACGACGTGATACCAATATACGACCGCAAAAATTGTTTGCGGTCGTATAAAAATTATATGCTGACATAATAACTTCAACTTTTTCATACATGTTCTTCAGCATCCTAACCTATGGGAGATAACTCCAAATATATTGCAGAAAGTTCTTCTGGTAAAACATACTACTGTGTATTTAAAAACAACTTTGATAAAACTTTATAGATAAATGCAATATTGAAATGAAAAAAAAATGAATGATCACCAATTCAATTCAATAAAATCTAACCAATTCAAAAAGTTTATTTACATTCTGAAGACCATAAATATAATTGGATAGAAGAGTTAATCTGTTGTTTATAATATCTGAGAAAAAGGGTTATATGTTCAAAAGCACAATATAAACATGTCTAACACATATATAAAATTTCTGAAGAAATCTAATATGTACATGCTATTGTAAATTTATAGAAATCTATAGTCTTGTAGTCATTGAACTGTTTATATCACTAGTGGAATCACTTTTACTGAATGAGAATGTTCCATCACTGAAAACACTACGTGGGGTATCAGCATCGCTAGCAACACTTTGTGGTGTCTCACAATCAGATATATCTCCATAAGATGATGTGATACTATCACTCAAGTTTGATTGAAATGGCTTTAGCACCTTTTCAACGGTAAACAATAAACTCTTTCTGTTTTGAGATCTGTTAAAGTTGTATGTCCCTTTAATTCCTAAATTTTGTTTTAAGGAAGTCATTTGCCGAATAGTAGATGTTTTTCTACAACAAACTATCATGAGAAAGGCAGCTCGGAAATCTTCTCTAAGCCAACAATAAATAAATGGATTTACAGCAGAGTTACTCATAGCAAGAGTCAAAAAAATATTTTTGATCATCTCTGATGAGTCTTTATTGTTTGAGATGTACTTAATTATGCATCCGATCATAAAAGGGATCCAGAATAGGTAGAACAATATAGAAACCAGTCCCATCATCTTTGCCGATTTTGTATCCCTCTTAAATTGTCTTCTTCCAAACACCTTATTGGAGGAAGTGGACCTCCTTTCTAACTGACGTTTATTATAGCTAACAGTTTCTCTATAAATTTTGAAATACAAGTAGGTTGTTATTACAATTGCTAGCATAATAACAACTGGTGTTGTTAGAATTGTATATGGCACTGGTAATACTGTG